TATATAATATATATAATATATAATATATATATATATATATATATATATATATATATATATAATATATATAATATATAATATATATATAATATATATAATATATAATATATATATATATATATATATAAATGTCACTTCTCAATATTATATCTGCGAAAATCACACTGAGAAAAAAATGTTTGGTACTTGTAACTATAATCATAAAGAAAAATCATTACTATAACATCAAGAAAACTATTTCTTTATGAAATTATGCTATAATATTAGTGATAATAACCTTATATACATGTTACTGCTGCCATTTTTGCATTAATATAACAAAAAAATATAGCTGAGGTAAAAAATAACTATAATTTTAGTTAGATCAACAATTTTTTTTCTCAGTATAGTTTCAGCAAAAAATTAAATATTTGCAAGAAAAATTTGAAACTGAAGAACTTATACATATCCAAAGTATCTTAAAACTACCGTACATAACCAAGTTGAAATTTTAGTTCTGTTTAATCTTGCACATTTTATCGAACTTGAAATCGATAATTAAATTTGAAATAGAAATTTAAGTCGATACTGACTTCAAATTTGGATATAACAAGTGGAAGCAAAAATAAAAACATTAAAAAATTCAAGATTGCAGTTCAAAGAGCGTTATTAGAAATACAAATCAGTATTTACACCACTTATAGTAGAACCTAAATTTCGATTTGAATACTTTAATAACATATATATTCTTTAAAAATAAATAAAAAGTATGCATAGGTAATTATAAAACTGAATATGTAGAATCTACGCGATACTATAAACAAACTTTGATTGCTTATAATTCGGAAAAATTTGCAACCACAATTTCATTTCTTGATCTACTCAAATTATGTTATAATTAAATTGTAAAATTATTATCATATTATAGAATATGTTATTAAAGAAAAATAGTTTTAAGATATCCTCTATATAATTTAAATATTAAATCATTTAAATATATATTTAGCTATAGACAAAAGTGTATAACTCTCCTTACGTTTCGTTGGAATCAATGCAAATTACGACAAAGACTATGTTAAATAATGTTCTATAAGCGTAAAATTTGTACACTCACAATTTTGTGATAAAATCTGACATCCAAAGAAGTCCACCAGCGGAACTCTCCGTTTTAATGCGGACAGTATCCCATCTTGTCAAGAGCTTCCATTTATCGTCGTTCCACGTTGATTGCATTTTATTTTGCACTCACGACGCGACATTCATACTCTAACGGCGGATAACGAATATAACGATGATATCAATGGAATGATCAAACGCCTCTTAAATCGGAATCTAAAAATTAATTTAGAAATTTAAATTAATTTAACGAGACACAAAGTCGGATTTTACGAATTTATTTGACGAATGTTCATAGAGATATAAGAAAATTCGATACTTGAAAAATATACTCGCGGCACAATGAACTTCGAAACTTCAACAAACAATTGCGAGCCGTGTGTAAAAAAATCGCATAAACACGAACGATCGCACCGATATCGCGAATCAATTGACGCCTTATAAAAGAAGTAACTCTGGATGGCGTGAAATTCTCACGCCCGTTGGCTCCGCAATTTCTTAACGGAGCAGCAGTACTTGTGCGAAGGCAACCTTCGCAATGTCAGAGCGAAGATAATACTCCGCAACACTTTTACTTTCGCGACACAACCGCGGATTTAATTATTCAACGAAAAATTCATATTCTTCAAAAAATATATCAGAATATAAATATTAATTTTCGAAAAATATTCGAAAAATTCGTGACAATTATGCAACGCAGATGTAAACAGCAAAAAATGTAAACTAGGGTTTATGGCAATCACATGGTGAAATCTGCCAACGTATACACGAGAAAAATGTAATCTTAGCTACCACGAACAGAATTCTTTCCTCTTTGACTACGTATTTCTAGCGCGTAATAGAGTGTCTTACGTAAGAATAAAATAAATAAAATATATCGCGTATACTTACATTTTTGTAAATAAATATCTATATTCAATAATATTGTCACGCGGGCAATGTCCGTAGAATATTAAAATTAGAAAAAATCGCGGAATAATGCGCATACGAATAAAATTGTTGAAAAATCAAAACTGTTATGTTAAATTGCATATTTTTACCAGAAGAATACTTTTGTGATACTCAAATTTAACAAGATTCGATATTTACAAAACAATCAAAAAGCGAATATATTTGTGTGAAATTTAGAGAACTAATAATCGCGACGATTGCAAAATTTTGTAACGGCGAGGTAACGGCAAGTATTGTGTAAATATACCGAGAGAAAAGAATATCTAAAAAATTAAAGATATAAAAATATTCAATAATTAAATTTATATTAATATTTACTTGATAATTATATTTCATATGATATAAAATATTTTTAAAATAAAAAATATATCTTTTCAAACTTTAACTTTTCATAAAAGCAATTATTTAATACTATTTAACAACTATTTAAGTAAAAAAATAATTTAAATTTGAATATATGTTAATAGTACCTAACGAATAGATATTTTCTATTTTCTATTTTTTAGATATTTTTTCTTTCAAACATAAATCTAATATGCAATATGTACACTGTTATAAACAATTAGGAATTTATATTGAATGTATAATTCTATTGTATAATCTTATAACTTAAGCCAAAAAGAGAATAAACAGTTAAAATGTTATATTTTCACAAATATGATTTTTGAATTTTATATAACGATATAGATTTTGTATCAAGATTATGTTAGATAATTAAACATTTCCCAGACAAGATAGTTGTATTTTAAATTATCTAATTATTTTCTAACAACGTACATGCTGTTAAATGGTACGTACATACACATGCAAATCTACAAAAGATGTAAGTTGCATTGATTTCCACGAAACAATATAAGCAGCAACCACTTGAAATTTTTATATTATGTTTTACCTATTTTCCAACTATGCAACACTCATTGTTTGGAACTGACTATTTCCTAAAACAGGGAAAGAAATTACATTGCATTACATTAATTAGATTTAAAGTATGCAGAAATACAAAAGAATTAGCTCTTTATAGACGTGAGTCGAGTAATTTCAATATTTTTAACTCGACTGTCGACTCAAAGAGCTTAAAGGCTAAATCACACTAGCGATTGGCGATTGACGATTGACAATTAAAGATTAGATTTTAACGAACAAGCTGCAGCCTTGGCTTGCTTTGTTCCAATTGGTCAAGTTCCAATCTTCAATCGTCAATCATTTATCGCCAATCGTTAGTGTGATTTGGCCTTAACAGGGTTAGAAAGGATGCATAGCAAATCAGGGAATTTACCTTCGTGTTGCCCCCGCTGTGCCTGAACCGGTACTCGATCCACACATGCACATACACACGCACGCCAAGTCGGCCTCTGTCTCTTTGCCGCAAGCACAGTCAGATCTACAGAAAACACACTGTTCCCGATTAGTTACAACAATTGAGAAGTGACTCGATACCAATAGATTATGAATAGGAAGGTATACGACATCGAGGTAATAAGGTATACGAGGTTAGGCTGCACTTTTCTTCGTGAAATCTAATAAATGCGAAATGTGACTCACCCCGTATATACCACTGTATTTCCATAGTTCACTCGTCCTCAATGCAATAATGACACGCACAAAATATCTCAATTCGACTCAAATATGCTGCTGTAAATCGAGAGCATTGCACAACATCGTCCGTCTCACTTGCTCTCCCGCCTAAAACAGGTACGTCACAGTCACTCATATGTCACGATCTAAATTGTTCTAGAAAATCGCGCAATAAAGTAGTGTTTTTCCGTACACTACGGCCCGAGTCATTCCAAATAACACTCCGTAATATTTACGTACGGCACCCCAACGTTGTAGATCGCACAACCTTCCCGATAACAAACGTATATAAACGACATACTTACATATTCACAAGTCTTGGACGTGACGACGAACGCAGCGGTCACTACCGGACGCCATTAGCGCTTTATCTTCTTGCTTCTCCTCCCACTCCTGACTGGGGCATCATGGGACGGCTACTTGGCACACGAACCCCGCGCACGTATTATACTTCGCATATATTATTGCGAAATCAGCGAAGGAGCAGCGTGAAAGCGTGCCGAAATCTACAAGGACCTCGTGCCGGAGGAGATGCCGTTCAGTTTGAGCATAATTACTTCATTATGAAAGTAAGTTTATAGACTCCACGAGCCATAATTGTACTGTATACAATTTAATCTGATTTCCGTTTGTGAGCGCAAAGTTTCGTTACAAGTATGGAAGATTGCATCATATATTTTAAGGTATATTCGCGCGCATTTTCGTGAAATCTTTATTAGATTCGGAACAGAAATGTACTCGATAACTTTCTTTTCGTGATGTCTTCACTCTTAATTCGTCTAAACCGAAAATACCGTTATCGGGAGCGTCGCGCGATATCGTCCGTCTCACTCGCTCTCTCCCCTAAAACCGTTATATTGTAGTCCCTTATACGTTACGATTTAAATTATTCTAGAAGGTCACGCGTTTTTCTATGCGCTACGGTAGCCCGAGCTATGCCAAATAATAACACGCAGTGATGTTTACACACAGCACCCCGGCGTGGACTGCGCAACCTTCCTAATAACAGACATATATAAGCGACATACATTCACACAGTCTTGAACGTGACGACAAACGCAGCGGTCGGTGCCGGACGGCATTAGCACTGTCTTCTCGGCAATATTGACTGGAGCATCATGGGACGGCTACGCTACTTAGCGTACGAGCCCCGCGCGCGTACATATTACCGCGCATATATTATTGCGAAATCAGCAAGAGAACAGCGTGGAAGTGTATCGAAATCTACAAGGATCTCATGCCGGAGGAAATGCCGTTCACTTTGAGCATAACTACTTCTTTACGAAAGTAAGTTTATAGATTCCACGAGCTATAGTTGTACTGTATACAATTTAATTTGACTTCCGTTTGTGAACGTGAAGTTTCGTCACGAGTATAAAAGATTGCATCGTCATATTTTAAAGTATATTTGAATTTTCGTGAAATGTATTAGGTTTGAAACAGAAATATACTCGATAATTTTCTTTTCGTAATAATATCTTCGCTCTTAATTCGTCCAGACCGAATACATCGCTATCGTTGTAGATAATGAAAACAATTGTTTGTTTCAGATCCGACAAAGATTGCGACCACAAGACAAATACAATTTTGGAAAATCCTGACGTGATGTATGCGGATCGTGCACTGGGGGATCCGGTTCGAATAGAATAGGATCGACTTGAAGGTAAGTTCACAAATTTACAATATTACTCGTTCAAATACTTTTGATTAAAAGCCAAGATATAGCTGTAAACATAACTTCATTTACAATACAAGAGATTAATTCTCTCAATCACTGTACGTTCCAAATTTAATAAAGAAAATAATCTTTTACTATTTCAGAACTTGTAGCTGAACGTAGTTGGCCCTGACGGTTAGTGATAAAAAAATGACAAAATGAGATCACACAGTGATCTAAGATGGTATGTGTTAATATGTAATAGTTAATATTATTAGAATATTGTTGTAATCAACGTGATTTACATTTGACGTAGATTTTTGCATGCATATATGTATGTACTGTTAAACAAAATGAACTACTCGAAATAATTAGGAGATTATTTATTCAAATACATATATTAACTATATATATATATATATATATATATATATATATATATATATATATATATATATATATATATATATATATATATATATATATATTTCAGATATTAAATCTATCATATTTATTACTATTTAATTAACTTCTTTATATAAATATAATATTCTAGAGCTATTTATTTTTTCTTTCTCTGTATTTAATCATAAAAATATTCAGCACAGCTGTTCACTCAAACTCCTAATTGTCTCGAGTAGTATAATGTGCATAAAATTGCGCCACCACGCTCGAAACTCACGATTATTTCATTGACGTCATTAAATTTCACGATCAACAGCATTATTAGATTTTTAGACTTCTCATACGTTCATTCACGTTGCGAGATTACGTAGATATAAATTTCGTTAAATTAAATTCGCCGAAATATCATGGGGGTTTGCTCTGGCGAAGTACCGCTAAGCAAGCCAATGTAACACAGTTTCGCGTTTCCAGTAATTCTATTCGCTCGCGTGTTAATGTCGTGATTGTTGCAAGTTTTAGTTTTCAATTTTATCGACACAGTATCTCCCTGGACGTAGAAACGTACAATGTAAAGAATTGCTTCTAGAAAGATAAAAGAGCATATAATTCATTTTTTCGTATTTTCCAAACTTTACATGTCAGAATTTCGTTACTTAGAAACAGATACATTTCATAGTAACTAAGATTAGATTTTTTTCACGTATAGGTTGATAGAGTTTGCCATGAGTTCTAGTTTACATTTTTTGCACTTTACGTTTACATCATATGATAACCACGGATTCTAGTTAATCTATATTCTTTTTGAGTTAACGTTTACATTACGGTTCACTCTTTAAAGAATATAAATTTTTTGTTGAATAATTAAATCCGCGGACGTGTCGTGAAAGCGTGATGAAGTGTCATCTTCGCCTTGACGTTGCGAAGGCTTGCCTTTCGCACAAGTACTGCTGCATAGCCGTTAAGAAATTGCGGCAATCTCCGCAAAGAAATTGCGGAGTCAATTGGCGTGAGAATTTACGTCATCCAGAATTATGTTTTTCATAGGGCGTTAATTGATTCGCAATATCGGCGCAATCAGTATGTTTACTTGGTTTTTTACACGCAATTCGCGAATGTTTGTTAAAGTGTCAAAATTTATCGTGCCGCGAACATTTTTTTTCAAGTGTCGCACTTTATTGTGTCTCTGTGGACATTCGTCAAATAAATTCCGATCCCGTGTCTTGTTAATTAAACTCCGTAGTAGATTTCGTTTTAAGAGAAATCTGAACATTTCATCAATATCTCTCTCGTCGTTATATCCATTAATCGCCGGTAAAATATGAGTATTCGTCGCGTCGCGAGCGTCAGAAAATAAAATGCAATCAACGTAGGGCGACGAAGGACGGAAACTATTCTGGACAAGGAAGGACGCTGTTCGAGATGTAACGAAGGATGAGGATGCATCGGTGGACATTCACGAACATCAATATCAACACACTGTGGTGAGCGTTTAATATGAATGCTCTCGAAGCATCATTTATTATAGTGCTTGCTTAGTAAATCACGTTGATTTAACAGTAAATGCAAAGGTAGTTACATCGCTGTTTAAGCCTATAAGAAACTAAATAATTTAATATTCCAATTACGGAGAGTATAGTAACATACAATATATGCGATGATAGCGTATACCGAAGTTTAATTCGAGTCAAAAATTTTCGCGGTCGGAATTTAAATTTAATTTAAATTTAATTTGTTAATTTCTAATATTATGACTTATATTTCTAATAAAATATTTTTTAGGCTAAAAATCCCATTTTAAATTTTCATTTCAATTTTCTATTAAATAATTATTATTTATTTGTGAGCTTAGAGTGTCGAAAAAAATTTTTCAACTCAAATTAATATGTCCGAAATCATATGGTAATTTCTGAATAATGAGCAGTCACAACTGGCTTATAACATGACGTGGATATCAGTTCAACTGATATTGACTAAAAATCTGTGATTAAAGTATTGTATGATGTCTTCAAACACGAAAATAACTACCTTGCATTATAGTAGTATTGAGAAATAATTTATTATTTATATATATCTATTGATTTTTTATATATATTATTTATTTTCTATATAACAACTGATTTTCTATATGTAACTATTTGTTTCATGCAAATAATCAATATTCTCACATGTATACGCTCCTTTTGCTAAAAATAACTTAAAGAATTCAGATATATATATATACACACAGAGTATCTCACACTCTCTTCCGGATATTTTGTGGGGATGTAGAATGGGTTGATGTGAACATAAAAGTCCTATACCGTTTTGCGATATTCGCAATAATTATCGAGATATTAATTGTAGAAAATTTGTGAATGATCATGCAGAATATGGTAAATGAATTATAATAACGACGATTGCCGTCGTTTACTTATACTTTAGGAAAAATTGAACAAAAAAGTCTTCTGCCATTTTCCAAATAATCATAGATTTTTAATTATTAATTAAAGAAGATGAGTGCATTATCACGCAAAATCGTGCAATAATCTTCTTTAATTAATAATTAAAAATCTATGATTATTTGGAAAATGGCAGAAGACTTTTTTGTTCAATTTTTCCTAAAGTATAAGTAAACGACGGCAATCGTCGTTATTATAATTCATTTACCATATTCTGCATGATCATTCACAAATTTTCTACAATTAATATCTCGATAATTATTGCGAATATGCAAAACGGTATAGGACTTTTATGTTCACATCAACCCATTCTATGTCCCCACAAAATGCCCGGAGAAGAATGTGAGATACCCTGTATATGTATATATGTATGTATGTATGTATGTATGTGTATATATATATATATATATATATATATATATATATATAGAGAGAGAGAGAGAGAGAGAGAGAGAGAGAGAAAGAGAAAGAGAGAGAATTATACGACGAGTGATAGATATAATAATAACTATATATCTTGTTGAATATCTGTACACATATATATATATATATATATATATATATATATATATATATATATATCGCAACACGAGAATATACGAAGCTTTAAAGCCTCCGATGCGAATATTCAATTCGAGATATAAAATCGCAGATATCGCTGCATCATCGGGGCACAAGTTTGCACGCACCGCGTAAGAGGGGATTTATTTTCGGCCGTTGCGCAACAAACATTTCATCGGAGTAGTGACAAGGACTGAAGTTATCGATCCGTAATAAATCTCTCCGTTATACCGGCACGGTCGAAGCTTTTATCCGTATAATGCCATACAATGGCCGACCGAACCAACCAGTTACAAAATAATACGACCCTCTGCAGATTTCCTGAAAAATGCACGGCTCCCTCGTCATAGAACCAGTTTGTTCTCATTCAACAAATCGCTTTAATCTCGCTCCAATCGCACGTATTCGGTCGAAAGCTTTCAGAGACGACGATCCGCGAGTAAAGCGCATACGATGTTCTTGC